CTGTCTGCAAGATGCCTGAATGTGACAACTATAGTAATAATGACTGAAGAAGGTATAATCCATAGTGACACATTGCTATCTCTGATTACACAAAACAACTCTAGAAAGAGAGCAACAGACAAGACTTGCCTAAAATCATTTTGTGGTCCAAATACTTAAAGATGGTTTTATTAAGGCATACGTATCATTTCGTATATACCTGTACCACCTATTCTGTAATTTAAGGACCCAATACGAGTTGTGGTCACAGTCATGGTGCCCCAACAGGCTCCAGTGGTTGAAAATGTCAGAGGAAAGAGCTTGATCTCTCCATAAAGGAAACCGTATTATTAAACTGTATTATTAGTATTGTAGCTTTATTATTATTATTATTATTATTATTTTATATTTTATATATATAATTTTTTTTATTACATTAAGTTGCTATCTTGGCAGCATATTCTGTTCAGAGCCATTAAGATAATATTAAATCTACATTTATATACACTTATATATTAACGGCTCTGATTCACTTACACTACATTTCCCAGAATCCTCCTCCCTGCTCCTCTCGGCCAATAAGGAGTCAGTTTGTTGAACGGGCGCTAAATCAGTTGTCTGTCTACTTCATAGTCCAGCAGAGAGCAGACGTAGTGATAGAAACTAGTAAATAAGACTGTCTAAGTTCAATGAACGGTGATGAAAAACAACCCAGCAGCGAGAAAAAAAATCTATTCGAGCCTCCGGTCGTGTGTTTCATCCCGTGTCGCGAGAAATGTTGCAAGAAACTGGCCGCAACTTCGTGAAGTGAACTCGGACTGCCAGCTAGCCAGCGCTCGCTAGCTCTGCTTCTTAACAACAATGTCTGGGCTTCCACAGAACAACTTGAAGGAGCAGCTGGCGAGGCACAGCAATGCTGCTGCTCAGAGCAAATTGTGCCTGGCTAAACCCAAACCGGGGTAGGTTTCGAGTGAGCTTACAATACAGGAGGGAGAAAACAGCAGCCAGCAGGTAGCTTTGAGCTGTCAGCTGTGTTAGCCGTGGTAGTTAGCAACACAGCTAGGATGTGTTAGCTTTCTCACAGATGACTAAAGCAAAACGTGTATTTATTTGCTCTTTACTAAAAGGGTTTCGTGCACCCAGAGCAAGTAGTTAACACGTTTAGTTCATCCTGAAGAGAGTTCATCTGTCACACAATATTAAACAATGTTGCTACAGACTATAATCGACTGTATGGATTTAACTTAGCATGTTTTGTCAGTGAATGCTGCCATATATATATATATATATATATTTATATTATATATATGTATATATATATAATATATATA